GAGGGCAGGCAGGGGGTAGAGCCTGGCCCCAGGCACGGGGGGAGGTTTTCTGCCCGTTTTGAACCCGATGTGATGGCGTTTGGGTAGTGCCCTGCAGCGTTCTCTCCTCGGGAGTTGTTTGGTCCTGCTCTTCAGGAGCTGTTGGCTCATCAGATGTGAGTGTTGAGGCTGTAATCTGTCCCTCGCAGCTTTGCTGCAGGTGCAGCCTCAGCTCAGGCCCTGGGCAGAAAATCTCCTGGTAAATGTGTTTCTCGCACACATCACATCTTGGTTCAAACTCTTACTGCAAATGTGCATCACAGGGCTTTGCTGCAAGGTTGAAATATCTGTGTAGTATTGCTTGAGACTGATGATACCTTTTTTCTCTCTCTTTTTCTTTTTTTTTCTTTTTTTTTTCCTGAAAAAAATATTATCCCTATAGCAGTGGAAATACTTGAAAGCTTCCTACTAATATCAGGCTGTTTCAGTCTGGTCCTTATTGCCTGGTTTATTGACTCAAAGAGAATCACTTTTATCACTGGCAGTCTTAAAACTATTTTAATTCTGATCTCTTAGTGTCATTTTGTTTGTTTTTGGTTCTGTGTCTCATTCTGTTTGCCCAGTGACCCTTGGCTAGCCAAGCCTTTCCTTTTTCATTTATTCCTGTCTATAGTCAGTGTCCCGTTTTGGTTGGGTTGTGTGCAGGTGGTGCTGGTGTGGTTTGGTTTGTAATCTTGCAGGGAAGCTTGCAGGGAGGGTCCTAAATCTCTAGCAGGGTTTGGTGGCTTTATTTTCTCTGTATGTGTGTGTATATGTGTCTTGTTTTACTTTCAGAGCAATATCTAAACTGTTTTGTTTTGCTCTGCTGAGCAAAAGTGGAAGTTAGATGCTGGGTTCAAACTTCTGCAATCAGCTACCCTTTTTGCATTTGATAACTGTAGATTCCTCATGCAGAGGAGACTTGGTGAGAAACCATAGTCATGTTAATCACGAGGGATCAAAGCTTCCTCATAGTGAAAGAGTTAAACTCTAACAGAAACATTTGCTCCTGCAGTCATCTCTAAAAGGCAGTTCATTAAATCTGTTACTGCCCAACTAGGGCTTCAACTTGAGCCTCCTCAGCTCTCCAGGTGTGGATGGGGAGCATGACATCCTCCTGTTATTCCCACAGATGCTCATGGAAGACACTGAGAGAGAGGAGCAGGAGCGCTCGCGATAGTCCTGTCTCGGCACGATCCCAGTCTAGGTTTGAACTGTTGCCACCTTGAAAACTGGGCTGTATTTGAAACCTTAATGAAATCTGCCATTTCACCTTTACCTGGTCCCATGGCAACAGGTGCAGAGTCATGGAATAGCTTCTGGAACATTCTAGTCCTCCAAACCCTGTTAACATCAGGGTTTTGCTTAGGCCTTAATGCTGCTACACCAAACCCCACGGGGGGGAAAATACAGCCCAGTTGTTGCTCATAAGTTTTAGTCCTGTGGGTTTTTCCCCCTTCCCCAGAACCTTTGGTGTTGAAGATGGTGAGTAGCCAGCCTAAGTACGATATAATTCGGGAGGTTGGTCGTGGCAGTTATGGTGTGGTGTACGAAGCAGTCGTCAGGAAGACCTCTGCACGTGTGGCCGTGAAAAAGATCCGGTGCCACGCGCCGGAGAACGTGGAGTTAGCCCTACGGGAATTCTGGGCACTTAGCAGTATCAAGAGCCAACATCCCAACGTCATTCACCTGGAGGAGTGCATCTTGCAGAAAGATGGGATGGTGCAGAAGATGTCCCATGGCTCCAGTTCCTCCCTTTATTTACAGGTACATGAGGCTGAGGGAATGGGGTGAAGTGATGAATGACCTTGTGGAGCTGTTGGGGGGGGAAGGAGGTTGGGTAGCTGAGGTCATGTTTTTGAGGTGTGCTGAGGTAGGAGAGGGTGTTGTTTGCATTGCTGACACCCCAAAATCTTAAATATATATATATCTTTAAACCACCCTATCTACTGAATAATCACCTGTGTCTTGTGATTTGAACCTGTGCTGCTGTTTTGGGGGTATGCTCAGTTAGGAGAGGTTTAGTTTGATGACACCCCAAATCTAGTATAAATCTTTAAACCACCACATCTGCTGAATAGTCACCTGGGCATTGTGATTTGAACCTGTGCTGCTATTTTGGAAGTATGTTCAGGTAGGAGAGGGTGTTGTTTTCATTGCTCACACCCCAAAATCTAGTGTATCTATATATATTTAACCCAATATATCTACTGATCAATGACCTGTACCTTGTGATTTGAACCTGTGTTGCTGGTTTTGAGGTGTGCTCAGGTAGGAGAGGGATTTGTTTGCATTGCTGACACCCCAAAACTAGTATATATATATCTATCTACTGATCAATGACTTGTATCTTGTGATTTGAAGCTGTGCTGCCCTAAAAGACTTTATTTAATGCAAACCTGCTTTGATAATTTGGGGAAGCCTCACAGGTAGAGCCCAGGGGAGGTGCAGGCTCTGGTGGTCCTTGGCAGCAGCTCTGCTGCAGGGTAAGGAGCAAACATGTCTTGGGACAGAGCTCTGAGGAATTTCATCTTAGATGTCCTTGGAAGAGGAAGTCACTGTCTTGGTTTAGGAAGCCAACACTTAAAATTCTTTCAGAAAAAATAAGAATTGGTAGGATGCAACGAGCTGTTTTCTCTTTTGAATAAATAACCATGAATCTCTTCAAAGAGTGGTAAAGGTAGGATAAATAAGGGAATAAATACCACTCTGACAGTGTCCTTTAAGTCTGAAGATGTGTATTTTGGGAGAATAAGTAGCCCTAGAAAGACTTTGAAAGATAAGCTAATTAATTCCCTTGTCAAGAAGCTGCCCCAAGCATAAATCATCCCCTGGCAGAAATCTGTGTCTCTGGTTTAAAAGGTCAGCAGCCTGCTCAGTGTTTCTTGTGTTATCCCTCGTCAGCTCTTATCATTTCAGTTTTTATTGTTGTCATTCCTGCATGTCTGATGTGGGACCTTTTGTTGGGGAACATCCAGCTGACAGCTCTCTGTATCCCATTGTGCTGTCTGAGCCTGAGAATGAGGATTCTTCCCTTTGTACACTCCCTGTCACTTGGGAGCTGCTCCTGACCAGGGATTAGGGTAAAATAACAACTGGCTATCTCATGGGAGAAATTAGTGCCTTACCTTCCTGGTTGTTAGTGGATCAGTGAGAGATTGCTTCCAATTTGTGGGCAGGGAGAAGCTTCAAACCCCTCAGGGTAGAACTATAAAGTAGGGAAGAGCTTCCAGATCACCTGCAGCGTTGGCTTGGATGGCAGTGCTGGTTAGCACATGGATGTGGCCCCTGACAGGTGCCAACTCCACAGATTGTTTTCCTGCTGCAGAGAGAAGAGCAAAGGGCAGAGCTGAGAGACTGAAGTCACTTTGTAATGGCCTGGGCTGAGAGAGAGACAGTCAGACCTCCCTGTCCTCTCCCTCTGTTGTCCCACCCAGGTGATGTTACAGAGCTGAACTGCTGCAGGGTGTGAGGAAGAAGCCTGAGGAGGAGGTGTCAGTGTCTCCTAAAGAGCTTTGGGACAGATGCTTAGTGTCAGCTGAACCAAATCTGTGAAGTTTGAGTCCTAACCTAGCCTGACCTTGTGGTGCTCTGCCACTGTCACAGCACAGGAGTGGGTTTTGTTGCTGTAACTCTCAGACCAGATCTAAGTGAGGCTTCTGTGACTGTGCAGGGCAGAGCTGTGTTGGTGCTCACTTGGCAAAGGACATGCTCTGCTCTCCTGAGATATCTTAATCTCACTGTTCCTGACTACAAACCCTAAACATGTAATTTTCTAGTTCTAACATGGATTTACTTTCTTCACTTGGGTGGGGAAAACAGCTATAAATAAGCTAAAAATTATTAAGTTTTGCTCTTGGTTGGCAAAAGTCACTTTTTTTAAAGCACTTCAAAATGCCTCTCTAAATATTAACACATACTTCGATTTTGGAAAGGCAATAGGAGCTACATCTGGTTTTAAATCCACTGGTTTACTGCTAACAGAAAGAATTGCAAGACTTACCTTGCAGAGTCTTGTCAGAGCCACCTCAGAGGAGCTGAAGAGGCTAATGTAGTTGTGTAAACAGGATTAGGAGAAGTGATTGCTGGTTTTACTTTGCTTTTTGCATGAAGCAGCTGTCAGAACTGGCTGCTCCACTGGTGTTCTGGAGAACAGCACCAGGATAATGATGGTGGGGAGGGTGTTAGGTGCTCAGCTGTGCTTAGATTAGTGTTCTCTGGAGTTCAGGGAGCTTGTGTTAACTTGCTGGAATCCATTCATGTGTCAGGAATGGAGGACAAGCTTTAAGAATCTCTCCTGGAGAGATTCTGCTTCTCTGGTGAGACTTTGTTTATCCGTGAAAGCTGTTGGCAGAATGGGTGGGACAGGCTCTGTGGGGTGGGACAGTGTCCGGCAGAGGCAGATGGGAGGGCACTGGCCACTGAGTGTCTGTAAAAATACTCTTATCAGGGTCGAGCTCTGCTGCTGGGCAGGAGTGTGAGCTTGATATGCTCTGCAGGAGCCAAAATAAGGAGGTTGGCAAATATATTGTGATTTTTTTTTTTCCTTTTACATTAAAAAACATGTGGCATGATGTTTTCTTTTCCCCATTGCAATATCTTGTCCTCTGGATTGTTGAGAGGAAGATCATAGAATGGTTTGGGTTGAAAGGACCTTAAAGCTCATCTCATTCCACCCCCTGCTGTGGGCAGGGACACCTTCTAGTAGCTCAGGGTGCTCCAAACCCTATCCAACCTGGCCTTGAGCACTTCCAGGGATGGAACAGCCACAGCTTCTCTGAGCAACCTGTGCCAGTGCCTCACCACCCTCACAGGGAACAACTTCTTCCTAATCTCTTCCTAAATTTCCCCTCTTCATTTAGCTCCTGATTCTATGCATTTTCCCCCCATATCCTTCCATTCTAGTGCTCATCAGGTAGTTATGACATTTCTTTTCCTCGTTGCAGCTTGTAGAAACCTCACTAAAAGGAGAAATAGCCTTTGACCCCAAAAGTGCTTATTACCTCTGGTTTGTAATGGATTTCTGTGACGGAGGAGACATGAACGAGTACCTCTTGTCTCGCAAGCCCAACCGTAAGACCAACACCAGTTTCATGCTGCAGCTCAGCAGTGCGTTGGCCTTCCTGCACAAAAACCAGATCATTCATCGTGATCTCAAGCCTGACAACATCCTGATCTCCCAGAGCAGGATGGATGCCACTGACTTGGAGCCAACCCTGAAAGTCGCCGATTTTGGGCTGAGCAAAGTGTGTTCGGCCTCAGGACTGAATCCCGAAGAACCAGTCAATGTGAATAAGTGTTTTCTATCAACTGCCTGTGGGACTGACTTCTACATGGCCCCTGAGGTCTGGGAAGGACACTACACTGCCAAGGCAGATATCTTTGCCTTGGGAATTATCATCTGGGCAATGCTGGAAAGAATCACATTCATAGACACCGAAACGAAGAAGGAACTCCTGGGGAGTTACGTGAAGCAAGGCACTGCCATCATCCCTGTGGGAGAGGCACTGCTGGAAAACCCCAAGATGGAGTTGCTCATCCCTGTGAAGAAGAAATCCATGAACGCTCGGATGAAGCAGCTGATCAAGGAGATGCTGGCAGCAAATCCCCAGGACCGGCCGGACGCGTTCGAGCTGGAGCTGAGACTGGTCAACATAGCCTTTAAGGACAGCAGCTGGGACACGTGAGCTGCTGCTCCTCACCCTGCTCACGGTACAGCTGCACTGCAGGAGGAGGAATGAGCCTGAACTCACCTGCAGGGTGGAGTTTTCACCAACCCAGTCTCTCTGGAGTTTCCTGGCAGGAATGTTGAGTTGGCCGTTGTGTTGCCTGGATGATTCCAGGATGTTCCGTGGCCTGTGTGAGACCTGACAATGTTCCTTTGTGTGCAACTGGCAGTGGGATGTTGTGAGAGCCCAGACTTGATGTCCAGCACTATGTCGTGGAGGGTTTCATACATTCCAGTTTCCTGTGTCAGTATTAGGAGCTCTCATGGGAAGGAAATGCCAAGATTTGCATGCTGGTAGTGCAAATCTTTAGGCTTTGTCGTGTAATCTGTGTACATATTTATGTATATGAGTGACTGGGAGTGTGTGGCACTTAAATTATTTGCTGTGGCTCTGAGTGATTGGGGTCTGCTAGGAAACTAGGCATAAAAGATGGATGAGGGACAATTTCTTCTTCTCCTCCAGGCCTTGAATAACTTTATTTTTGTTATCTAATGTCAAAGACTTGACTCTGTAAACAAAGCAATGCAAGGGGATCAGCAGTTTTGGAAGTGAGCTTAGCACTTACAGCTTAATGAGCTCATCACTGAGGGAGTCAAAAATGTCCACAGTCAGGTGCTAGCAGAGTGGCTAGTTCATTATCATTTGATTTTTGCTTTCCTCAAGTGATCAGATACTTTTCTAATCTACTGTTTCATGACATGCTCTCTACTCTTGTGTCCATAATCCAATAGCACCCTGAGGATTTATCTAACAGCAGAGTCCTGTGCCCTTAGTTTATGGAAATGTGGATGAGGGAATCCAGCAGCATGTTTAAGATTCCTCAAAATATGGTGGCAGCACAGTTTTCCCTTTAACTGAGTCCAGCTCAGAGTCCTGGACATGGCCTTTCCCTGTCTGGCACTGCCCCAAGCTGGTGGTGATGAGGAGACAGAGATGACTCTGTCCTGTGGAACAGACAGAGGAGAAAACTCAGTGACAGGTATGTGAGAGGTGGCAGCCTTGGCTGATGTTTTGCCTTGTTTTCCTCCTTTGAAAGAAGTCATATTTATTTAAAAGCACAGATGGTAGGATGGAGAGCTTTGGAGCAGTTGGAAGCTGCTTATCCCCAGCTCTTGTTGCACAGAAGCAGATTGATATGCTGGGAGAGGTTTGGCTGAGGCCACCTGACACTGCACAGCAGACAGAAGCTCTTTGTCACAGTACAACACTTTGTTCTCTTGGGTGCAGGACTGACCTTTCCCATCCAGTTTGACCTTGTGGGGGAAAAAAAAACCCAACCAGAGTCTTCAAATTGCCTTTTAAAGCTGCAGGAAAGGATAGTTTTCTTAATAATTTTTTTCCCCCTACCCAAATCTTGCCTGAAAATGGCCACAAGTGTAATTTGCTTCTTGGATACTGTTGCCTCTGAGTGCTGGGAGGGCAGTTCTGGTCAGTCAGTGTTTATTCAGCCCAACTGTCAGTTACCAGCACAAACGTCATACACTTTTGTTTTCCCAAAAGCAAAGGATTCTGATTCCAGCGAACTTGTGAGGCTCTACAGACTGGAGATAGCTGTTAGCTCGTGCTGGATGAGCTGGTGGCTGTCACCCAGGTGGCCTTAGTCCTTCCTTCCTGTCATTTTTCTTCCACTTCATCATTTTAGGGAGTGCTTCTCAGACAAATACACTTGGCTTCTGTGTTTCCCAGTGCTCCCATCTCAGTTAACCTGAAATAGGTTTCTGTTTCTTCATGTTAAGACTCGAGAGCTTTTCCAAAACACTTTGTGGCTTCCTCCTCTCTTGCCCACCCAAGAGTCAGTCTCAAACACGTTAGAAATCTGCTCCAGAATAACACTGCTCACCTTTGAGGTGCTTTGCAAATCCTCTGATCCCCCTCTGGAGGATTTCACTGGATACACTGCCTGCAGTGCAGAAACAAGGGAATGGCACAGGGAAGTTTGGGGTTTTCTGACTCCCAAAGTGTTTCTTTGCACTGATTGCCACTTTAAAGGTTGGGGGTACCTGAAATCCCCCTCATGGTGCTTATCCTTGCTGTTGGGTGACACTGGTAGTCCTTGAGGTCTGTGTTCTGTTTGATTTTTTTTTTTGTTGTTGCTGTCTGAGGTCTTTGTTTTGCAAAACGAATCGAATTGTTGTAGCAGCTGCAGAGTTGTTCACCAGCGTGACACAAAGTCAAGACACTTTTCAGCACTTGGAAAAGATTATTTTTGTTTGTTTTTCATGTTTGGTTTTTTTTTCTTTAAGAATTGTAAAATATATTTTATGGAGAATTTATAATGAGGAAAATTATTGTGTAATTTATTAAGTTCATGACTGGTTTTTTTGAAATAAAATCTGAATTTCAGTGATGCTTTTCAACTTTGATATGCTTTGGTGGGTACAGTGTCATCTCCTGTGCTGCATCACAGCCATACCCTGAGTGATCCTGGGCTTGGGGAAGGTGCTGAGTTGACTGATGGATGTGCTGCTGCTCATCCAGGCCCAAATTCCCAGTGATGTGTGATGAGCTGCTGGAGGACTGAGGGATTCCAAACTGGGTGTGAGTCCAGAGCCACATCCCTGTGGATCCTGTGCTTCTGCCAAGCACTTTCAGGATGCAAACAGGGCTGTGCTGGCTGCTCCCAGCGAGGGATTAAAGACTGGAAGCAGCATTCTTGCACCCTGTGTGTACTTGAAGCTGTTGCTACAAACAGACTGAGTCCCACGCAGGGCAGTAAGGAAATCTCTGGCAGCCTCTGCTTACCCCACTACTGGTGCTACTGGATTTTTGAGGTGGTGGATCAATGCTGCCACTCTTCTGGGCACTTTCCCCTCCAGTTCCTGGTGTGCTGGAGTAGGATTTCAGCCAGGAAGTTCCCACTTGTTCTGTGGGTGATGATGTTGTTGCCTGTGCTGGACGTTCAGGGACAGTGTCCTGCTGTTCTCACATGCCCTGAGAAACCTTAGGAATGAAGGTGAGGAAACACCATTACTTATACATGACACACAAGCCTAGGAGTTACTTGCATGTGTTAATGAACTGTCTCTGAAGAAAAGCTCTTGCAGGCTGAGTGGTCCAGGGATCCAGGATTCCAAACTAATAGGACAGACACACACACAGGTAGTACAATCAAAGTGATATATTCCACTTGTATATGTGTGCTCTTACACAAAGGATATAAAGTCTACTACATTAGAAAGGGAAAAGTTATGTCCTTAGCACTTAGGAGGACATACCAACCCCAGGAGTGGTAAGAACAGTGGTTCAGTGCAGAGTCCTATTCTGGAGAGGCACACACAGAAGCTCAGCAGGTGTCCCCATGGAGACAATGTGATCTGAGGTTCTGGGGAGCTCCCCCAGAAGGTGTTTGGTCTTCTATCTATCAGAATTTTGTGGCATCATCCTGATGTGACCAGTACAGGATGAGATGTCTCTGAATCTTTGGGGCATCAACATGTTTTTGGTGGTTCTACATATGTATGTGGAGCTTAAGGGTGGTCATCAGTCTCCTCTGGAGGTCATTGCTTCCTCATCATCACCTCTCAGTGTCCTTGACAGCTGTTTCACAGTCAGTCAAGGCTCATTATCCTTTAGTTTTCCTCTGCTGAAGTTTTCTTATCCCTGCTCACTCCATTCCCACGGGAGAGCTGCAACTGCTCTCCTTGATATTCCATTTGGCATGGCCTGCTGTGTTCCATCTCCACTTTCTAAGTGTCTTTGGACACACTGGGAGTGGGAAGGGCTGGGAATGGCTTTCGCTTGCCATTCCTTACCCCACAACAACCCAATCCCAGACACCTTCCTTTACCCTTCACCTGTGGATTCCTGTGCATCCTGGTGCCAGAAATGGACACATTCCCACCTGGCAGGAGCTGTGTGGTTGGATCACTAAGTTGATGCAGCTGTTGCACAAGAGAAAGGGATTGGGATTTAGATTATTAGTGGGTAAGAACCTTAATGAAAGGAGAAAGTCACACCAATTAGTTCTAAGAGTGGTGCTTTTAAATATAGACACAAGCTCAAATCCTTCCCCACAAAATGAAGAAACCTAAACCTACAATCTTAAAATATCTCCAGTCTGTCCAGGGGTGGGGAAATGTGCTGCAGAAATTGGATATAATTGAGGCTCTCTCAGCTCCAAGAACCCAACCTCAGCTTTGTTTTCCTTGTTCCACAGAATGCAGAGGCCTCAGGCTCCAGCTTGCCCATCCCAATTCCTGGGGCAGGGCTTGGCTGGCTTTGGGAACTTGCCAAGTTGGTATTTTCACTTTGTTTTGGTTCAGACAGAGTTTTCCTTGGCCCCACCAGCCGTGGCCCTGGTGCAAACCGCAGTGTGACGGCAGATGTTGCTTTGTGGGGGGGAGCCCTGTTTTCCCACCTCTTGGAAACGTGCCCTGGCTTCAGGGAAACAACTTTTTTTTTTCTCCCTGGCACTCTCAGGTGGCCTTTGGACTGTGTGTGGCACAAACAGCCACTGGTTTGTGTGGCTTTTCCCTTTGCTCCACTGATGTCCTGCAAATCCTTCCATGGAGTATCACTCATTACATGGTTTGAATCCTTCCTGGTGGTTTGTGTGGTGAGGGGAAGGAGTTGTCCCACAGAGAACCAGTTTGGAGGATTTAAACACCAACTTTAAAGGGCTGAGCAGTGGCTGTTTGGTTTCCCTTTTGGCTGGTTATGCAAAGTGCAATTTCTGTTCTTTAACACACCAAAGGCAGAAGGATGTGCCTGAAATAAACCATCCAGAGTGTCTGAGGGACACTGTTTGGGGAGGGGGATACAAGACTGAACTGTTCAGGAACTCTAGAAGTGTTTTGGGGGAGTCTGAGACCACATTTATAAGAGCATAAAGATACCAAGTGGCCCAAGGATGAACCAGCACCACCATATCATTGCTGGAAGAGGAGCTGCAGTGTCTTGTTAAATCCCTTTGCTTCCAGGTGAATTATTTGGGTGCCTGGAGCAGAAGGTGATTGCCT